TGCTCTCTATGAACCAGCCCTAGTCCTATTCCTGCCATGAAGCCTTACCTCACTGGAGTTATGATCACTCTTTTCTCTTACAGCTTCTCTCACACTGTGCTATAACTTCTGGTCTACAAGTTAAAGTTTTGGAGGACAAGAAATGATTTACCATTGGATCTGAATTATATAGACATACACAGACAGACCACAGGTACTTGATGAAAGTGTGATGGGTGAAGCTTAATTTGGGGAATTGTTTATTTTTGTGGGACTTGCACAAAAATTAGCTTGATTTCACAGATAAAAGAATTTGCCATCATTCCAATGTAGTGTTGAGAGAAAGAATTTTTAAGAAGACTATTTCAATAGCTGAGGCTTTGAGAAATGAGAGTTAAATGGCAAGGCATCAGTGGGGATGGGGAGAGATTTAACAGCTGGATTTTATTAACTCAGCACTACTGGATACATAATCTAATTTCTCCAGGGAAATTCTCTGAGGTTTAAGAGAAAAGTGGAAGCAGATTCGCTCTAAAAGGGTATGAAGAGTTAATCAATGTAGACACTTTTTGACCCGAGGGTCTGAGTTTCATTCCAGTTTTCTCTAAGAAACCTTCCTAACTGTTCTGGGCCACTATATTCATTGCCTTTTCTGATGTTAGTACCATGCAGCTCGGTGCTAAATTATACATCATCTTTATTACCTACTAGAATTTCATGGGCAGTAACTGCTGCTCACCAGCTTGACTATGGCAAGATTACACCTGAAGTTTCTAAATGTCCCACAGAGGCCCACACCTAACTAGGTATATTGTGCTCAATATCTACCCATAGTATGTGTTACTTCTTTCTCAGGTCCCAGACAGACTGACACATTGTCATGGCTCCACTCAACTCCAAGTGAGACTAAAAGAAATTTCTTGTGGTACTTGTCGCTTTTAGTATCTCTTCAACCCCTAAATAGCCTATAAAGATATCATTGTAACACAGTAACATGCATAAGAAGCAGTATTAGGTGCTAAATTGCAAAATATTAGAAAATATAAAACAAAGTAATTGGTTAGCATTGTCATATAAGAGTTCATAGTCCACTGTGTGATAGAGAAGTCCTACATGGGACTGTCCTGCTTCAAGGTTGTATATGGTGAGATTTTTGGACTTATGTGCAAACATGAGAAGCATAGAATTCTTTATCCTATTTTTAAAATATAATCTAATTTTTAAATGTTTTTTTATCATATTCTGTAGGGACTTAAAGTTCAACATATCAATACTTGATGAAAAATACCTGTTCCTTATTATGCCTAAGATGTTTGAAATGCAGTGAGATAGTGAGGCTAAGATTGATAGCCCAAATCGTTTGATAATAACAATAAGCTTGTCTTCTGGATGGTTAACAACCTAAGTTTGCAGACCAAAATTAGAGAAAAAGGAGGGCTACAAGGAAAGCCAACATTTTGGCCCTAGCCTTCTAAGGTCAATTAAGACTCAGGACATATGAGAACTTGTACTGTAACGTCATGTACCTCGGTAGTGTCCCAAATTTTCTGATCAAGAAGATTATGGGGCCAAAGAGGAAAGTGATCGATGACGTAGAGTGGGCCTAAGGAGAGTCACATGGGGAGAAGACACTCTCTCAGGCTTTCACAGAGAGCACACTGGCCAAGCAATGCCCGTGACTCATCCACATGGCTGCACTGATAAAGGTTCTACAATCTGAGGTACAGGATCTCAGGACAAATCCTGAGGGCATTTCACTGACCTTCTCAGACCAAAAAGCTACAACTCTTGTTGCATAGGTCCTGCTTTACCTTGGTCTTAACCATCCAGTAGAAAAGTATGAAGTCGAAATATAAGAAATAAAGCCATGCTGTTAAGTTGAGCTATGGGGGACTCAGGTCAATAATTTCTGACATTGCCAGTTAAACAGAAGACCCAATGCTATTATGGGCTACTGGACTCTTTTGGAATATTTTGCTGAGTTTACACACCTATCATATTCAATAATGGAACTTAGAAAAAATGGGGTATACCGATGAATGTCCATTTTGTGTCTGTGTATTCAAAGTGGTTTGGTTAGATATATAGTTGCATTCTGTTAATGAATAGAATGATTTGTTCTAATGGTGTTTGTAAATAGGATCACAAGTCCACATCTTGTATAGCAATTAACCACTAAGAAGAATATATGCAGTGTATTATTTGTTGAAACTGTCCTTCCGATTTGATTTGAAACTGTCTCATTGCTATCTGTTTATCAATAAAACTTTGAAAAAAAAAAGAAAAATTATATATTAGGCAGTAACTTAAGTCAGTGAAACATGAAGACATTTTTTAAACATGTTTTACAATAAGGAAAAATAAGGAGGAAAGAAAAATGATCAAAGTACTTGAAAAACCATAATTACAAAATAAATGTAAAAAAGCTGAAAATCTTAAGTGTACGCTCAAAAAAAAAAAAAAAAGGAAAGAAAGAAAGAAACATAATAACAGTAAAACCTTGGGTATGCCCGCTTAAAAAAGTTGTTAAGATGTCAAGTGCTATATGGGTACAAAGTGAACTCTGTTCTCTAGACATTTTCAACAAATAAAAAGCCCTATATTTCTTTATCAATCCTCCATCTAAAACTTTATAAGCTTGGAGAAAGTACCTAAAAACAAACCTACTAACTAACCTGCATACAGTAGGAGTTCTCACTTGGTTTTCTCTATATACAGAGTTTCCAGAAAAGAGGTCCAATCTGAAGGTCATACTGCCCACTTTTAATTATCCTGAAGGGTAGGTGCAGCCATTTCTCAGCAGACACCAGTGAACTTAGGCAACCTTGGCCTCAAAAATTGGCTACAGAGCAACAGAGTGTTCTGGAGCCTCCCTGACCTTTCCTGCAAAGCACATTTCATTACCAGGCAGAAAGGAAACAAACTAAACCTTAAGAAAATAAAGTCAGAAAAAAGTACAGTCTTAAAGAAAGAACATGCTTTTTTGCCTTCTTTCTCTCTTTTTTAAAGTCTTGGTGGTGATCCAGCTAAGAAAAAAATGACTCTCAATAAGACATCAATTCAAATGAAAATTATTAAAACATTGACAAAATATTTGAGGTACTTTACCTCTGTCAGTAACAAATAGTTCTTTAATCACTCAGTTAAGAAATGGACCCTTCCAAGTCACTTTTAATGTTTACGCACAGCTCAGAAAGACCCAAGGTCAAGGGTATGCTCAGCATGGGTAGCCCAGGAAAGACTCAGCTCAAGAACTGCCAGTGCATCATTGAATGATGACATAGAAACAGGCTTTAAGTTTTAGCTTTCTTTTAAAAATTCTCTTTTTTCTCACACTATAAAGGAAATATTTTTTCATTACAGAAACAATGCTGCACATGCATACAGAAAAAAAGCAAAACATCATACATACCTAAAAGGGGCCCAAGTTTAAGAAACATTTACTTTATGTTGGTGACAGTTTAGACATATTATATATACTACCTAGTTCTACCTACACAATCACTTTGATTTGATGACGCTAAGTATCAGAGAGGTTAACTCATCTTCCTGAGGGAATAGAGTCAAATTCTAAATCCTCTGTCTTTATTTTATCTGATCTAATTTCTAGTCCTAAGCAGTAAGTAACTCTCCTTCAACAACTAGAACTACTGTAGTAGTCTGGACAGACCCCACTTATACCTGGCAAGGGAGATTCTCATGCCTTTTCACCAGGTCAACACATTCTTGGGAACCCAGGGAATCATTGGGAAACAGTGAAGATATGACAAAGACCGCAGGTGCACTCTATTGCCAACACCACCAGGACAGCAGGTTGGAGAAGGGTGACGTGAGGCAGGAAAAGCTGTGTTCTATGGTTGACATTCCCTCCTGTGGAGCTTCACAGTGAAGTTGTTCTTTCCTGAGCCACAAAATACAGCAGTGTGTGGGAAACGGTACCCAGAGATGTTAATCAGAGACCTTGTGCTAAAGGTTTCTATTTGGGACTTTTGCATGGATACTTGCTGCCTAACATGTACCAAAATTCCAGACTCACAGAAGTAAAAACATAAAGCACATTGTTTTCAAAACAGTTAAGGTATACTGAGCCATAGCTTTCAATGAGACAGTGGAATGCTCCGGAAATCCAAGTCCCCAGATGTCAATCAAAAACCAACCCTGTACACAAACTCATCAAACAATAAAGCTGTCTTGAACCATAATCTTTGATATACAACTAAACACCGAAATCTTTCCTTGTATGTATAAGATCTCAACCAAGGGGGAAAAATCAGTTCAACAGGTAACATGGTACCAGGCATGTGTGTCACTCTTCATAGATATGCTCTTCGAGAACTATTTCAGCTTTCCTCTCCCAGATGCTATGTGAACTATGTGATATTTAATTTAATACCTACCTGACTACTAGAACCTGTGATGGTCCCTTACTTCTTTTGACCCATGGAATGCAGCAGAAAGACTCTGTGTGAGTTCCAGGACCCAGGGAAGAAGTAGTCTTATAATTTCTGTGTGCCCTTGATTGGAATGCTGCCATAGACAATCATATAACAAGCTGGTCTGGCCTCTGTAAGGTAAGAACATCCATAAGCCTGGTGTCTGAAGCTTAAGCCTCCAAATGTACAAGAGAATTTGTGGTGGTCTCCCAGCCCTAGCCATCCTGAAGTCGAATGAATGAGGTCTGGTAAGCCAAAAAGGGAATTAATGAGCAACTCATAGGGTCATAAGAAATGATAAATTTTTATTGTTTCAGGTTATTAAATTTTGATGTGCTTTATTATACAGCAATAAATAACTAATAACTAACATTAAGCCTTGTTTTTGTTGCACAGCCTTTCTTGGCATTCCTAAAAGGCTTACTTTTATAAATTGAGTTTAACATCTCAAAGTAGTTCTTTCTCTTCTTATGTCTCTGCACACTGACACATAAACTTAGTTAACAAATAAGACTTTTTTGGCACCTTTCTTGCTTCCTGTCCATCTTGGTGGCTGCTCCTGGTTGAGCGCCTTCTGCGCCGAAGGCAGGAAGATGGTAGCCACAAAGAAAATGAAAAAATCTCTGGAGTCCATCAACTCTAGGCTCCAACTTGTTATGAAAAGTGGAAAATACATGCTGGGGTACAAGCAGACGCTGAAGTTGATCAGACAGGGCAAAGCAAAATTGGTCATCCTTGCCAACAACTGCCCAGCCTTGAGGAAATCTGAAATACAGTGCTATGCTATGTTGGCCAAAACTGGTGTCCACCACTGCAGCGGCAATATTGAACTGGGCACAGCATGTGGACAATACTATAGAGTATGCACACTGGCAATCATTGATCCAGGTGATTCTGATATAATTAGAAGCATGCCAGAACAGATCGGTGAAAAATAAACCAAGCAGAATTTCTCATTAATAAAAACTGCCATAGCTTGTTAAAAAAAAAAAAAAAAAAGACTTTTTTGGCAAAGTAGAAAAGAGATGTCTGTGGTTAGAGAAAAGTCTGAGAGAGGACAAGAAGAAGAGACTCTCTGGAAGTGTCCATTAATAAATTTTGTATTTATAATAAGCAAGAATAGATATGGTATAATCCCTTCCTGGGGACTCAGACCACCCCAGAAGAAAAAAGTCCACCCTGCCTCCTCCTGGTGCCTTGCACAGGGCAGCCAAACTGCCCCTTGGGTGGTTACCTTTTCATTTCCTCTTCTTCCTTCTAATTGTATTTGCCATTCATAAAAAATGGTTCAGCTGACTTCTCATTTACTCCATCCACCCATTTTCACATGAAGGCCTAGGTCCTGAAATGTTCCTTGGGCTCACTGACTGATGGATTTTGTCGTCTAAAGTAGAGCTGGTACGAAGCAGCTTCTTCAACATATATTGACTGAATGAATGAACAAATGGATGAAATGGGGAAATGAATCTATGTTCACAGTGTAAATTCTAGAAATGAGCTCATGGGGCACTGGGGAGATAGCTCAGTAGGATAAGCTTGCCTGGCAAATGCAAGGGCCTGAGTTCAATCCCTGGTTCCACCAAAAAGAAAAAGAAATGATCTCATGTCAACTGTAGTCTTAGAGAATTGAGAAGAAAGGTTGACAAAAGAAAAATAACATTATTATAAACTGGCACATTAAAAAGAACACTGATATGCATGCTTTGGCAGCACATATACTAAAATTGGAATGATACAGAAAAGATAAGCATGGCCCCTGTGCAAGGATGACATGCAAATTCATGAAGCATTCCATACTTTTTTGTGGAAAGGAAACACACACATACACACACACACACACACACACACACATATACAAGATAGTTAAGATAGCTATACAGCTATTTTATCTTGATTCATTGAGAAGAAAGGTTTGCACTAATATTTTTTAGATAAGATGTCATGTCTGCATCTTGTCCTCTGGATAAATACTACAAAGACAATAATATGCAACGTATTAATTATTGTAACTGTCCTACTAACCTGTTATGAGACTGTTTCATTGTTATTTTATGTTTTTTTCTCATTAAAATGAATTTTAAAAATATAAAAAGTTTAAAAAGAACACTGATATCCATACTTACAACTTTCATAGCATGTATCAGGCACTATTCAAGTGCTTTGCATACATGCAGTTTTTAAACCACACAAAGCTCTATGAGATAGGTAGTTTATTACCATCATTTCCATTTCATGAGTGAGAAAATAAAGATATAGAGAGATGAACAATTTGTTTAATGTCACCCAGCTAGTCCCTGACTAAGCCTCAGCTTGAACCTAGGTTAGCTGACTTTAGAGTCTATGCTATTCACCCCTTTTCAGTTTCTCACAATGAAATCATCAAAGACTACAGTATGAAAGAGCAAATACAGCAGTCTGTGACATCATGCACCTGTAATCCTTAGCAAACTCCTGTCTCAAAAATAAATGGGTTGGGGATGTGACTCTGTCTGGGCTCTGGGTTCAATTCCCTGTACTACAAAACTACAACAACAAAAGTGAAAGTCAGAAGAGTTGGGGGAAAATGGAGGAGCAGGCAAGAAAGAGAAACACTTTTGCTCATTATGGTAGAAGTCTTAAAATTAAGGTATAAAGTGAAAGCAATAAGGTTTCAAGTGGTATAGAAATTAATTATTCTTCCTATTCTTTTCCTGCAGAAAATTTCCTGCAACCAACAGTCCTTCCCATCAGTGGGAACAGACAGAGATACTGCCTGTTCCTGAAGGAACAGTTTCAGTTCTGTGCAGGCCTCTAAAATTATTCAAGCAACACCCTTGAATAAGAACCGAGGGCACCCACCCTCTTGAGACACAAGACCTGTGTTCCTCAGCTCCATCCTGCCACCTACTGCTCCCACACCAGTTCACGCTACCCCTCAGAGCAACTTTCATGAGATCCTGCAGGCTGGCTGGTGTTCTCCTCACCTAGCTTGTGAGTATCTATGACAAATAAACTACTGCCCATCTCATCTGTCCAGCACAGAGGATTATGTGTTCAGCAATACCTATAACTCTAGGACAGGAATCCCTTTTTTACCAAAGGGTAACTAGGAGGCAATTAAGATAGCCATGAGAATGAAGTAAAAAGAAAATTCTAGATGGACCTGTGGTGCTTTTACCTCGTTGCACATTGGCCCCAAGCACCTTGAATGTGGTCTGTGCCATCTATCAAGATCCTGATGTAAGAAGGCTCAGAATGAAAGCCTGGGGACCTCACTAATTTGTGTGAGAATCTTAACATGTTTCCAAATATTCTACATCCCTTGGTGCATCAAGGTGACATTCCTGGGACAACAGCTACCATGAGAGCCTAGACACAAGGTGCTTAACAGATACCTTTTGAATTAATACAGCAACATTAACACTACTTTTAGCAAATTCTTCATGACGAAGCTCTTTGCAAATATTCCATTGCCATTAAAGTGGTTATGGGGAAATTACTTATGACAAAAAGCTACATGAAAACAGCAAGAAATTAAATTGTATATGCAATATGCTTTTCACTAGATGTTTTTAAAAAGCAGAATGTATGAGGAAAATGACCAAAAAGCTACAGATTTAAATGATTACAGCAGTTGTGTTACCAGGCTGCAATTATTTTAAATGTTTCTTGTTCTCGCTATTTTCCAGATTTTCTGAACTGTGGTATGCTTCTTTCAGACTTGAAAATATGCAATAATATTTTAAAATAAGCTCCTCTTCAGCTAGAATTAAAGTTGTGGCCAGTTTTCACATGGCATCTCCTCTAGTGTGATGCCAACATCCAGAAAGCACTAGGACCAGGAAAGAGCAACTGGTGGTGGGGGAGAAAGAGCCAGCTCCAAATGCACCACGGAAGAGTTACGAGTTGGAAGCCAGAGCTCAGAGAGCTGGTCCAAGCTCTATCAGAAGTCACTTTTGTAATGCAAGCAAGCCCCTGCATTTCTCAGAACCTCTTTCTTTATATGCAGAATATAGACTACTACTCACAATGGTCTCAAATTATTATTCCTGGGCAAGAGCGATCAAAAGAGCCAGATGGTTCTGGACTGTTGTTGGCAGGGTCAGCACTCACATTCTCTCACCTCATACATCCCAGTTGCCCCTCAAAAAAAAAAAAAAGAAAAGAAAAGAACAGCACAGTCCCAATACTCTCCCCAGGCCATTCTGCCACCAGGGATCTAAGGTCCCAGGATGCTCAGTCTGTGCCTGCGAAATCCAGAATGCCTTTCCAATCTGTTTTTGGCTTTTCTGATTCCAAATCTCAAAATTTATGCCCAGAGTTAACTATGCTCAGCAATTATGAATCTTTCTCCTGGCTAGGGTTACAGACTAGTACCCTATTTTTTTAAATTAGTTTTACTGAGAAACAGCAATGAAACAGTTTCAAAACTGATTAATAGGACAGTTTCAATAATTAATACATTGCATATTGTTATCTTAATGATTATTCATAGTACAAGATGCAGACATGATATCCTAGTAAATGAAATTTAAAATGTTACTCTTTCAAAAACAAAAAAGTTAAATAAAAGCAAAGAGATAGTCATTATTGGCAGAGTTTTCAAATCTTTCCTGTTTTTAGCACTCATTTGAATTATCATTTTAGCTTCTCTTAACTCTTCTATCATGATGGAAAATCTCAGCTTCAGCAATGACTGGCTCATTGATCAGGGCCAGATGCATATTCTACTCCAATGCCTTCTTTTTCTCTAAAATAGCATCTTTTCTCCCCATCCGGTCCAGCCCAGCAACGAAGGGTGACTTGAGCTGACCTTCACATGAGCCAAATCTACCCATAAGAGAAAAGGCACATCTGTGGTTTGTGGACTATCATTTGCAGAACATGAACAGACAACACGTGAGAAAAAACACGTAAGACACATTACCCTAAGAAGTCCCTTCACACTTTGTACTGTGTGCCTGCTTTGTAGAGTAGAACATAGGCACTGGACTAAAGCAGCAGTCTTTGAGGGGCTGGCAGTAGGAATGGAGATAAATTCCTAGGAGGCTACAGTAGAATCATACAGAGGGGTTTTTGATGTTCAAACCATCTGTGTTAGACACGTTTCTGTCACCATTACAGAACACCTGAAATAACACATAGACAGATAAAGTCAATGTATACAGGCTCATGGAAAATATAAGATGTGGTTAAGAGTAAATAATTTGAAAGATGAATTAATAAAAACCCGGAAATAGTAAAATTTAAAAAAAATTTAGAGAAATAAGAACAAAACTGAAACCAAAATAAAGAAAATGAGGCATTACTAATAACACAGAAAAAGACCATGGTAGGCAAAATGAGAAAAAAGAAACAACAGTGTACAAAAAGTATGAAGGGACAGAGAGAAAATGAATAGGAGTATTTTCAGAGTGCATAAAAGCATATTTAAAGATATTATTCAATAAATATCCCAATGGGGGCCAGGGAGATGGCTCAGTGGAATAAGTGCTTCCCTGGCAAGCACCAGGGCCAGAGTTCGATCCCTGGTTCCACCAAAATAAATAAATAAATAAATAAATAAATAACCCAAAGAATAAAAGAAGCCAAGAACAGAAAAACAAATACTTTTAAGACCACAGAGCATATAGAACAATTTTTAAAAAACACAATTTAGCACATTTATGAGATAAAAATCTTTGGCCATCTGGGCATCACTCGCTTTTGATGGGGCAAATAAGGGGTTAGCAGCAGAAAATATCATTGTTTCATTTAGTGCCAGAAAATGGTGGAGTAATATCACTACATCTAATTCTCTGAAAGGGCCAGTGAGATAGCTCAGTGGACTAAGTGCCTGTTTAGGCAAGCACATGAACTGGGATTCAACCCCTGGCACCACATGCCCCACCAGCCCCAACCCCAGGCACACTGAGCCAATGACCCAGATTGAGCATGGTAGTGCATGTCTGTAATCCCA